AAATAAGTCCTGTAGTTTGAATCTTAAATGTCCCTACCAAAGGCCAATGTGTTAAAAGCATGTTTCCCAGAGTGGTGCATTGGGAGATAGGGGAACGTTAAAGAGATAAGTCATAGTGGAAGGTCCTCAGATCATTGAGGAAATGCCCTTGAATATTCCTTGAGGATAGTGGAACCACAGCTCCTTTCTATTCTTATCTTTTGCATCACAGTCATGAGGTGAGAGGTTTTACTCTGCTAAAAGTTTCTGCCACAATATGCTATATCATCACTGGACCAAAACAACAGGGTCAGTCAGTGATGAACTAAATCTACAAAAGCTGACTATCACAGTAATTATCCAAACAAATAGAGATGAGATTTATGGGTGCTATATCAAGTAGTCGTGATACTATGAGTATTGGGAAAGTACAGATAAGAAAGGATTTTGAGGAAAGGACGTGTTCAAGAAATTGCTTTTGGATTTGCAACAAAAAAATTAAAGATTATTTTGGTAACTAAGGTAGAATAGGATATTACAACGTGACTTCAAAGAAAGATTCTAGAAAATTTTTTTTGCAATTAGAAACAAATGAAAAAGGAACACTTTCCAACCACTCTTCATACAACAGCTCCCCTATGAGGCTGTCAATTCTAACTCAGTTCAGACTTTTTCCATGAAGGCTCTGCTGAATGATCCAGTGGGAATTTCTTCTTCTCACTTGATGTTTTATATTCAGATTGTTGAGGATAAATTATCTTAACTCAAATGAAAATTTAAAAGAAGTACATGGTCCTTAGAATTTGGTTAGAAATGCCCATATACTTTACTCTAGGTCTCAAAGGACACACTTACCATTCTAATTTAGTGTGTCTGTGATGTTCAAAACATTGGGTCTCTCAGGCTGTGCTCTGATGTCAGTGCCAAGTAAGTCCCCTAAGAATTATTTTGAACATTTGAACCATTCTCTACCAATGACATAGCTATTACCATTGGCCTCTGTGCAGAAATAGTCTCCTAAATGATAAGAAGGGCAGAGTTTTATTGCTGAACCTGCTTTAAAACCTAACAAGTGGCTTCAATATAACTCCTATCAGGGAAAAATAGGTGAGAAAATCTTTAAAAATTATTTTTGCTAAAGCTATTAATGTCCTGAAAATTTACCTCGCTAAATTATTTAGGGTTTGTTTTTCTTGAAATTCTAATCCTACTTTTTCAAGTTTTTAAGTTGCTTGGTGCAAGCACAATAGACAAATCATATCATTTGTATAACTCCTGAGTTCAAGAAAAGCCTAAATTACCAAAAATAAATGAACAAGTAAAGTGTATATTTTTGTGGTAATAGCAGAATACATGGGTAAAGGTTTTGAAACTTCTTTGAAAGAAGTGTTTTCCATAAAACTCACAATTTTATGAAATAGATTTTTATGGCTCTAAATGAAACAGAATTTGGACTTTTTATATAAAAAATTCCGTATATATTATACATATGAACTAAACAAATTGTGCTAGAATAAATTATATTTCGAACCAGCATTTAAACTCTCAATGTGATTTTAGAATGCATTCTGGTAACTCTTACAATTCTTTAAAAAATTAAGTGTTAATTCTGTTTCATCAATTATCATCACCTGAGAAAGTTGTATGGCATTATGTGACTTCAAGTCGGCAAGAGTAAGACATTTAGTGAAAATGATAAACAAATTATATAGATTTCAAATGTTGTTTCTCAGTAGTGTTCTTAATGGTCTCATCCCCAAGTAATGGAGACTTAAAAGTCAGCAATATTTTCAGGAGACCAAAAAAGAAGAGATTTTCCTATGTCTTACCAAAACACTTTTCTTCTATTCATAAAATTTAAGTACAGTGTAGCAATTGTCAATGACTATCCACAAAACTCTTAATCTGGAAATATCTGAGCGGTGGTATTGACTATCTAGAGAAAATAGCAATTCAATAAATATCAGACCAATTAATAAATGATTTCAAAGTAGCAAAAACAAAATTATATTCAAGTAACATGTTCCCGAAAAGATAAGAACTCTTTGTCTATAAGAACATATCTAAAGAATAGTAAAAGGAAGCTTTCAAAGATCTTGAATTTTAATAAGTGTAAGTTCCATACAATCTAAGAATACCATGAACACATTCCATATTGGAAGCAATGAAAGTTGACACCAAAAAGATACTGCTTTCCTTAGAGGCATGTGACCTTAACAATTCATTGCCACAAGATTGGTGTGCAATGGTTTAATATGTATGCAATACTGTCAGTAAATTATTATTATTTCTAAATATCAGTAGCATTGTCACAGCAGGCACTTCCACAATAAATTCATTTTTGCTTTACCAACCTTAAAATTGTAAAGTGCAGAAAGCTTTAATTGGGCTCCAATGTTTATTGTGGATGCATCAAATTATAAAATAGAGCAAACTCAAAAGCAATCCATTTTGTTTGCTTAACAAAATTTTTTGTATCTTGATTATAGGAGTAAAAATCATTGTATGGATCATTTCATAGAGAAAGTTAGTGTTAATATTTGGATATTTTTCCATGGTACTTTTATTAGTAGTTATATGTACTTATTTGGAAAGTAGGATTATTCTATATATAGAACTTTCTATCCTGTTTTTCTTATAACATCCGTGCTTATTTTATTATTACAACAAATATTCTAAGTAAATATAATTTTCAGTGATTGCACAATCTACCATTATGTGTGTAGGTGATTATCATTTATTTAATCAAATTGACAGGGTGTTTGGAATTTTTCACCATTGTATTGCATTGTATTACAGTGGTCATAGTCATGTGTAAGACTTTGTTTGAGATTTGAGTCATTTTCTGACAGATTTATGATTATTACTCAAAGGATATAAACATTAAAGAGTATTATTAATATAATACTAAACCATTTCCTAGTAATTCCACAAATTTATACCAGAATACATTATATTTCCACTTAATTATGTTGTAGACAGCATCAAATATTATCATTTCCTTTTTTAATCTTTCTGTTTGGTAAGCAGAATGAATATACTCACATAACTTTTCAAATGATGTCTTTCTAATTAGTAATGCAGTCAAACAGTTTTGATTTATTAAAAAATTGTATCATTTTTCAGAGTTTTCTCTTTCTGCCATTTACATGTTTTCTAGTGATTATCAATGCTGACTTTGACAACTCCCTATATAGGTATGCTTATCTCAGCTAGCAAAAACCCTTCGTCCTTCCTATTATTGCTTACACTCTCTCTTCAACAAAATTAGAGATAAGGACAAAATAGTTTCTGCCTGGTAGCAAGGGAGTGGGGAGTAAGGGAGGAGGTGGGAGGAAGCAGGGAGAAATGACCCAAACATTGTCTGCACATATAAATAAAAGAAAAAAAAAGAAAAAATTAGAAAAAAAATGCTAACTTTGATAAGCTTTACATAGAGAGAAACTAGAGAAACATTTTTTAATTGCAAATAATCTCCAAATTTGTGTTTGACACTTGATTTTATTCATGATTTTGACATATATATGAATTCATCAATTTTAATCCTTAGGATTTCCCACATTCCTTTAAATAGTATTTAAATTTCTTTATACACATAAGCATATGAATAATTCTACAACGCATACACAGGAGGTATTAAAAAAACAAGCTGGAAAGAATTTAGAATAGCAGTTTGCTTTTCCTTTCCCTTCCACTGTCTCTCCTCCCTGTTTCATACATACTATTTTTCCTCTCCTCATCCCCAATGGTAAATATTTGAAAATAGCCCTCTTTTCTTTTTTTTATAATATTTAAATGTATAGTCTAATAGAAATAAAGACAGAAAATCACAAATAAAATGTAAATGAAAGTAGTATATTTTAAATTTTTTCTTGTGCCAAAAATGGTTGTACACAGCTGAAATCCCAGGTACCCCAGAGGTAATGCCAAAGGGATTTCAATCCAAGGCTGGCCTGGACAAATGTGGAAGACCCTATCTAAAAACAAACTTAAACAAAACAGGCTGGTGTGCAGCCCAAATGCTTGGTAGAGAGTGCTTGCCTACAAAGTGAAAGATCCTGAGTTCAAAACCAGTACTGCCAAAAAAATTATTTTTCTTGTGTTAGACTACAGCATATAACATATAATTTACAATTTTAACCACATAATTCATTTAGTACATTTGCAATGTCACCAATACTCAATTTCAGAACTTTTCCCATCTTCCAAAGAGAAAAATTAGGACCTATTCAACCAGAGCTCCTCATTCTCTCCTCCTGCAATATTACCATTTTACATTTCATTTCTATCTTACATAAGTGAAATCATACAATATGAGCCCATTTTCTCTGACTTATTTCACTTAGGATAAAATTTAATCCATACTGTAATTTGTCAAAACTTAGTCTCTTTTTAATAATGAATAATATTCCATTTTATAAATGAACCACATTTCATCCATTCAGCTTTCCATGGATATCTGGGTTGTTTCCACCTTGGGATATTGTGCACAATTCTGCCATGAACATTGGTGGGCAACGATAGTCTTTTCAACAACATTCTCAGTTTACATATAGTCATTGGGCTTGTTTGGAAGCACTGATACTAATTGCTCAAACTTTCATTGTCAACTTTATCTAATAAATATACAGAAGTTTTGCTCTGAATATTTCTCTCCAGAACTCAAAATCTGTCTTTGTGCATACCATCTGAAGGTTTCCTTGAGAATATGCTGGAAAAATATACAGCAAATAGGCAAAAACATAATAGCCTAGGGATGGAGCTCAGTGGCAGAGCACCTGCCAAGAATGAACAAGGCCCTGGGTTCAATCTCCAGCATGCTAAAATATATATATATACATAAAATCCTTGGAAGACTGATTTTCCATCTAGGTTTTGAAATACACCAAAGTCAAGATGACATGTGGAAACATTGCAGAAAGTACTGCTCTTCCTTTGAGACAAAAAGCTCAAAAATATTTGGGACATGTAATATATTACCAACACCATATTTCTCAAAATATTTTTCAGAGAATACAAGAATGGTTGACAAAAATCATACCATAAAAAACGAGTTCATCCTCACAGGATTCTCAGATCACCCAGACATGAAGACCCTTCTGTTCACAGTGTTCTTTGTCATTTATCTGATCACCATGGTAGGGAATATTGGTCTGGTGATACTGATTTCAAAGGAACGGTCTCTTCACATGCCAATGTATATCTTTCTAGGTAACCTGGCTTTTGTGGATTCTTGCTGTGCTTGTGCTATTACTCCTAAAATGTTAGGAAACTTCTTTTCTGAGGACAAAAGGATTTCCCTCTATGAATGTATGGCACAATTTTATTTTCTCTGCACTGTTGAAACAGCAGACTGCTTTCTTCTTGCAGCAATGGCCTATGACCGCTATGTTGCCATATGCAGCCCACTGCAGTACCACATCAGGATGTCCAAGAAACTCTGCATTCAGATGACCACAGGAGCCTACATAGCTGGAAATCTGCATTCTATGATTCATGTTGGACTTCTACTTAGGTTAACATTCTGTGGGTCTAATCACATCAACCACTTTTATTGTGATATTCTCCCCTTATACAGACTCTCCTGTGTTGACCCTTATGTTAATGAACTGGTGCTATTTGTCTTTTCAGGCTCAATTCAAGTCTTCACAATAGGTAGTGTCTTAATATCTTATGTGTACATTCTTTTTACTATTTTCAAAATGAAGTCCAAAGAGGGAAGGCTCAAAGCCCTTTCCACCTGTGCATCTCACTTTTTATCAGTTTCATTATTCTATGGATCTCTTTTCTTCATGTACATCAGACCCAATTTACTAGAAGAAGGAGATAAAGAGACACCAGCTGCTATTTTGTTTACTATAGCAGTTCCCCTTCTAAATCCTTTCATTTATAGCCTAAGAAATAAGGAAGTAAAAAGTGTCTTACAAAAAATTCTGATGAAAAAAATAACCTCAAGAAAGTTTCAACAAGTGACATCTACTGTGGCTTAGTGATTTAGATGAGAACAATTTCCACATGAAATTGAAGAGAGAAAGTGCAGGAATCATATGTAAAATCTTAATATGTCATAACAGATTCAAATTAAGCAGTAGTATGTGAGGGTGAAACTATATTGAAAAGACTAAACTGTGCTAAATCTTAGCAGAAAATAACAAAAATTAAATATATAACTTGGATGTTTTTCAAGTGACAACCTGTATGTTACCAAGCTCATGGTCTTTGTCAGTGTCAGGGATGATCAATACCCAGAAGACAACAACAAAACCTGCAGTTAGAAGTATAAAGTACTATTGCATAAACATTTGTAATCAGCTCGTAGTAACTTACAGCATGACCATTCATTGAACCAAAAGGGTTTAAGACCTGTGAAACTTCATCCAACAGGATCACTTACAACCAAAAGCACCAAAATTGTGGCAAGTGGGTTTTTTAAATTATTTTATCTATTTTTATGAGCAACTTTAATAGTACAACGGGGTTTCATTGTGTTAATTCAATAAATGCATGCAATGTACTTAGAACAAGTCCACCCCATCTATTATAGTCCTCTGCTCCTTCTCTCCTCCCCACCTTTTCAAATACTATTTGATGAATTTCATTATGCTATCTTCATGTATATGTAATGTACTTTGATCCAATTCATACCCAGTGCCCTCTCCGTTCCCTTCCTGCTTCTATTGACCACCCAGACAATCCCCTTTTTACATTCATGTCTTATTATTATTTTCATCATCTCCATCTCCAATCATCATTTTAAGTCTAGATAACTCACAGGAGAAAAGCATTTGACATTTGGCTTTTTGAGCTTGGCTTATGATCATTTCCAGTTCTAACCATTTTCCTGCAACTAACATAATTTAATTGTTCATTATTGCTGAAAAATGTGTCATTGTGTTTATATGCAACATTTTCTTTATTCATTCATCAGTTTTTGGCCATGTAAATGATTCCACGCTTGGCTATTTAGGGTAGTGTTGAAATAAACTTGGAAGTGCAGATAGATGTCTCTTTTGTATGCTGATTTACAATCCTTTGGATATATGCTAATAAAATGGCAAGGTCATTTGGCAGGTCTATTTTTAGTTTTCTGAAGAACCTCCATACTGATTTCCATAGTGGTTGTACTAGTTTACCTTCCCACCAGTAACATGGAGAGCGTCCTTCCCTCTCCACCCCCACAACCTTGCCAATCTTTATTGCTGCTTGTTTTTGTGATTATAGCCATTCTGACTATGGTAAGATTGAATATCAGTGTCATTTTGACTTGCATTTCCTTTATGGTTAAAGATATTGCATACTTGTTTATGTATTTATTAGTGGCAAGCACATTCTGAGGAATGAGTTTCATAGCATTAGGGTAACAACATGATAGTGAAGACAGAGGTAGTGAGGAAATGAAGGTATCAAAACATGAATATTAATCTCCAAGCTGAAGTTGATATGGAGTTAAATGATTAAACAAGAATATTCAGACTGGGAGATCTAAGATGGTGACTACAGTACATAAGCAGATAGCCTGAGCTTCAAATCCAAAACCTTGCTGAGATGCTGGTGCCATCCTTGGCAGAAGTAAAGCACCAATCGGAATCTAATCTTTGACATCCTGAACCCCTAGCCCGTGGAAGGCATCCCCACAACACATTACTCTGAGAAAACCTGAGGGCTGCCACCACCACAGCAGCTGTCACTGCTGGCTCCAAACCTGTCTGCAAGACATTCTACAGATCAAATAGGTGAGCGTCACATGTCACACAGAATTCCCCCAGGAAACACCGGGATAAACCAGCACAGCCCCTGGGCAGACTGACCCCCCACCAAAAAAAAAAAAAAAACACTGAACAATAAGCAGCAAACTGTAATTTAGTACAACAGGAGAGGGGACAGGAAAGCTGAAAGTGCACCAGAGAAGGGGAGAAGGGCAAGGAACAAATCTCAGCACAAACTATCAGTAAACAAACACTGGAAAGGCAGGAAGACTGAGACCAGGCAGGTGATAAGCCACTCCCCAAAGCAGGGCAGGTAGCAGATCACAGAGCTCATCTCCTGAGCCAGTGAGCAGCACCCAAAGTCAAACTGCCAGAACAATTAGGCAAGAAGAAGAAATAAAAGTAATACAAATAGGTAAAGAAACTGTCAAAATATCTCTATATGTAGATGACATGATGTTATATCTTAAAGACCCAAAAAACTCTACCCAAACAGATGTTGGTGAGGATGTGGGGAAAAAGGAACCCTCGTACACTGCTGGTGGGAATGTAAGCTAGTGCAACCTCTCTGGAAAACAATATGGAGGTTCTTAAAAAATTAAACATGGATCTGCCATATGATCCAGCAACCCCAATCCTAGGGATATACCCAAAGGAATAGCTTACTCCAGAGGGACCTGCACACCCATGTTTATTGCAGCACTATTTACAATAGCCAAGCTATGGAAACAGCCAAGATGCCCCACTACTGATGAATGGATTAAGAAAATGTGGTATTTATACACAATAGAAGGCTCAGAAGGTCAAAAATCATATCTTCTTCCTCATATATGGACTTTAGACCTAAAAAAAATGCAGTAATATTATTGGACTTGGGTCACACGCTAAGGGAGAACACATACATGAAGAATAGACAAAAGTAGGAAACTCAAAACTTAAAGTGTTTGATGTGTCCACTGTAGAGGAATATAGTAACCTTAAAACAGAGGTCACTATGGGAAGGTGACCCAGAAGTAGTGAAGAGGTCTGGTAGAGATGAATCAATTTGGGTTGTAATACACATGTGCATGGAAGCAATGCTAGGAATCTCTCTGCATAGTTATCCTTATCTCAACTAGCAAAACGCTATGCCTTTCTTGTTATTGCTTATGTTGTCTCTTCACCAAAATTGTAGAAAAGGGCAGAACAGGTTCTTCCTGGAAACAAGGGGGTAGGAGCAGGGGCAGAAAAGGGGGTGGAGAGCAGGGGAGGAGAAATGTTCCAAACGATGGTGCACATATGAATAAATTTTTTAAAAAGAATATTTGGACTGGAGGCATGGCTCAAGCAGTACAGCACCAGTCTGTTAAGTGTGAAGCTCTTAGTTCGAACCCCAATACCACCAAAACAACAAAAAAGAATATTCATCTTTAGGATAAGTTGTTATCTTTAAAGAGTTTTAGCTGTCCTCACGTATATTTACATAGGTTCAACCACAGATTTCTGAGATCCAATATCCTCTGAGATACTGGATCCTTGCTGGTGCTCTGATTATCTTTTCACACTGCCATATCTTCAAGTATCTACATTCATGCCTAGTCCCCAGGCTACACAAAGTTTCAACTATATTGACTGCTTCTCATGTCCATAAAGTCTGCTGAACCTGTCTCTCTTGTTTTGTGTCCTCTAATTTCTAAGTAAATTCTTTGCAGCACCTCCTTTCTGGGTCCAGGGAAAGTTAAAGGTTGTCGAGTTTAGACTTTCAATGTCACACAATGACAGTACAATGCAGGACTTTGCTTTTGTGTATCCCCCCGCAAAAGTCACAGAACTCAGTCTCAGCCAACTGCAGCTCTTCCTTCTGCCGTTCCATTTTCTCTAACTCACTGAATCTTATTTCCAGCGTAAAACCTATGCTGACACTGTTGTACTGCTATGGTCTCCATTATAAATTAGCAACAAACCTGAGCTTCTCACACTGTTGTCTGATAGAAGAATGGTTATTGGACAAAATGGAATTACAAACAGGCTTCCCATGAAAATTACTGGTTATAAGGAGGAAAAAAACTCATGAAATAAATTCTTTTAAAATATCACCAATATTTTATAGTGAGTAGCAACAGAGATTTAGTCAGAACATTTTTAAAAAGCTACTAAAATATATGGAAATAATTTTATCTCATATTTAACCAAACAGTTTTCATCACAAATGTGAAATAATTTTAGGAAAGTAGAACAAGTGTCAGACATTTTCTTGGGTACTATTTTTTTAACTTTTAACTTTTGATTTCAAAATAAGATAGAAATAGTAATTATTATTATTGCTATAAAGTGGATTTATATTAACTAGCCAAAGTCTCCTCAGGTTTTCCCAAGGAATCCAGTTAATCCTTTTCTGTAAAAATTCTTCTTTACTGAGCATTTTTATATTTTCTTCTCTGTTTTTATTCATATTTTGCTATAGTTCTACCAGGCCGTATTTTCCACTGTGACTGTATGTTTTGTTCAAGAAGTTCTAAAACACCACTGTCACTAGCTTCATCATATCTGCTTACTGTTTGCGAAGACCATTTCACACTGAATTCCAGAATGTTCACTATGTAAGGAGCTCAGTGGGTGACATTTCCACGGAACATCCCTCTAGTGCAGAGCAGGGGACATCTAATTTTATACATGGTTAGCTTATTTAGGAGAATTCCCATGTTACAATTCTCATGTCCTTAGACAACATTGCCACTTCAGAGACAGGCATGTCAAATGTGATAACAAGAATCACTTTGTTGGCTCATTAGTTAATATCACACAGCTTCATTATACATACAAAGATTAGCACTTGAACTTTTTGTAGCTCTTTTAATGCTATGAACACTTTCTTTTACATTTTATTTATTTGTGTGTGACTGTAATTTTAATATGCTATTTCCTCTTATCTGGATGAGTTGTCAACCTGCAGTTTGGTAGACTGGATAATGTTTATTCTACACACTCACCTCTAGATGCACCATTTTTACTTCCCTTCCACAGATCATTCTTCTTAGAATGACATTCCTGAACCCAGGCAAAGAGTCTCTGAAAAGACTCATTCCATCCCTCATTGTGACAGAATCTGTTGTGTCTTTCAAAATTTAAAATTGGCTGGGTGCCAAGGGCTCATGCCTGTAATCCTGGCTACTCAGGAAGCAGAGGTCAGGAGGATCATGGTTCAAAGCCACTCCAGGCAAATAGAAACCCCATCTCCAGAAACACCCATAACAAAAAAGAGGCTGGTGGAGTGTCTCAAGGCATAAGCCCTGAGAGGGAAAAAA